CATCATGTTATCGAAGACTACAGCACCGACAGAAAAGGGATAGGTGCCTACAGTTCCACGGCATGGTGTGAAGATTGTTTCAGGAAAGGAATAAAATAGATTGTTTTGTGATTGTCTTATCTGTCAATTAAATATTTGATAGATATTTACATCTTTCATAGACCCCATTACGTCCATTGAATTCCTATCAACTATTTCTGAAGCTTCTTCAGGAGAATCTCAACATCATGTATGCTTTATAATTGAAAAAATTGTTCTATAGGCTCTATATATTTGTCAAACCCAGAGAACGGAAAACATCCAGTATACTCTATAATTCGAAGTTGACAACTTTTTCTTCCTTCTCCATATATTCAAAAACACCCTGTATATATCATCGACTACTTAAGCAATATTCTTTCAATCTGAACTAACTGAAATACTTCACTATAGACAATCCTGAATGAAAATAAAATTACTACTTCTCTTGTTAGCTGAAAATCTAGCAAAATATAAAACAGAAAATATCTCAATGTTTCACGAAGCACCCCGTATTCGAATGAAATCCTATTTCTTTCATTAGCGGACATCTAGAAAGGAATGAAAAGAAAATCCCAATGTTTTACAACAAATCACCCTGTACATCAAGTTATTATTATTCACAGCTCCCTTGAAATGTTTCGATTATTATTGTCGATGTTGTGAACTGTCCTTTGTTGTTTTTGTTCATGCTAAGTATTTCCAAAATGGCTCAACTCAGTTCAATATGATGATTTTCTCAGACTTGTACTTTAGCACAATCATTTTGAAGGAATAAATGAAATCGCTATGCTGAGAAACAATGCTTTTTTGATAACACACACACACACACACACACGCACACGCACACACACACACACACACACACACGCATGTCCAACACAACTGAAGATTGGAATAATACTTTTATTGAGAGAAATATTGATATTCGACCTTTAACACACTGTTTCAGTCACCTGATAAACTATTCAATATTTGAATTTTTCATCTAATCTACTCTGAACTGAAAATGCTTTTTGTAATACAAGGTGGCTCAACAAGAAATAACTTGTTTTAATTTTTTTTGTGAGGCACTATGTATAAGGTGTTTCTAAAAGTGTTTGGTCGATCATCGAAAGCTATACAGACATTAACATGTTGACATGACGGATGTCTTGATCATTGGTACCATAAGTATGCTATATTTTATAAATGTTGTACAAGTTGTACCAAAAAAATCTTTGCGATGAGATAAGTTGTTGGACAGGGTATATTCTGTCTTTGTGATGACACTACTTGATACCGACTTTCTGAAATACCACTTGTTTTTCATCAAGTATTGGTATGTTCGTGGTCATCGGAGGCTTATTAGGTTTCATTATTATTTAGTGCAATGCGCGGTTATCTCTATACATCATTCCAACTGTTTGGAAAGTCTACCCTACGATTATATTCGTTCCAACACAAACACACTATTGATCGCAATAATCAGTTAGCGCGTCATATCTGTCATACGTTACCTATATGTTTGCATGGTCCACCTATGGTGAGTGCTCGCAGCTAGTCCCTCCTGTTTATATTTTTTATTCGAGCACAGTGTATATTGAACAGGAGCATCAGCTAGCTGGTTGTCAACTTGCCGAGGTAGCTTGTTCACATCGATCGTGGTCGGTTTTTGCAGCGAATCCCCCTGTATATATTTTTTTGATCCAAGCACACTGGTATATTGAATGGATGCAGCAGCTAGCTGGTAGCCAGCTTGCAGAGAATGATGGAAGTAAGATATGGTGTAATCACTGATGCGCTTCTGTTTCAGAAATTTTACTCGACCTCTCCAGAACAGTGAGAGCAATGGTTCCGTCGATCTTCTGATAGATGGCGACATTGCACAATTATGATATCTGTCAGTTTTGAAATTGTCGCAGATTTTTCGAATTCAGAGTTGAATAATCCCACTGGTTCCGCGTACCTAAAATGCCATTTGCCATTTTATTTTCACTCGTCACAGCAGCAATAGCAGCATTACCATCTAGCGGGGGAATGTAGAATCAACGTCTCGCTCGTTGTGGACGTAGAGACATCATAGTAGGCGGTTGAGTGATTTTTCTGAAATTTTCAATACGGAATAATGGCCGGATGCGCGCACCATACCTTACTTCCATCATTTTGCAGAGATTGCCTGGTCACATCGATCGTTATTATCTGTCAACGATGGCCATACGTTTGATCCATGTTTAACACAGAAGTGGGTTGGTCCAAACTCGCCCTGTATATTTTTGCTATTCAACTCAAACTCTACCATGTTCCCCATGCCACACCAAACATTTTCAGCTGACAGTCTAGCAACATTGTTCAAGTCATCGACTCTTATCAGAGACCAGCATTTGTTTTGTTGTCGGTAATCTATCATAGGACGGATCTAAAGCTTTGCTCGCTTGCGTGTCGACTTAAGTCGATGATGATGACGCAATTAGAATTTTGCGCCGTTCGCGGGGCCGCGAGTAGCTAGCCGAGTCAAGCAGGCCTGTGATTGGCTAGTCGGGTCACGTGGTTTGGAGAAAGGTGGAGTGGAGGGGCTGGATTATACTCTCCCAACACCTACTAATTTCACATTTGACTAAGCAGTGATCTGAGATACCATCCATTCTGAAAACTGACACATTGTTCATGATATCAGAATCCGTTAAAGTTAGAGAGTCAATACACGTACTGCTAGTTGCTGTTATTCTGGTAGGCTCATCACATTTTTGAAAAAGATTATATTTCTCGAAAAAAGTCTGTAGTGTTCTCGTGTTGTTATTTGTTTCATTCAGAACATTGACTTTAAAGTGTCCACCCAATACAATGAAGTCGAATTTTGGTATAATTTACGATAAAATGTTTTCAAGATCAATCAGGCAACTTGTCTTTCGAAAAAATTATCGAAGTTTAAAATATACAGTCCACTTTATTCGAATTCCGAACAGTTATGGTATGTGGTTCGAGTTGAATTGAATAAAAATGAACTTCACTGGTTTCGTAGTATTCGATAGGAAGTGTCAAAAATTGGGTGATCAATTTGGAATCCGGAAAATTCAAATATGCTTGCATTAATTTCAAGTTGTCTAGCCCTATAAGACCATCAAATGTTTTGTGAAATTTGAATAGGTAAAACTTAAGATTGGTATCACAATTGAATTCTTGGGAACTGAATATTCTTGGGAGTAACTTTGAGAAATCGATGTGACTACAAATGGTTCATGTTTGATATTGTCTCTATGATTTCTGAAGGCAATATCTGGATTGAGAAATGATTTCGTTGATCCTGTGTCGATTAGCAATTTCAAAGAAGGATTGGCAATAGTTATAGATGGTAGTTCTTTTTCATCGGCAAAAGTATGTAATTCTACTATATTCCGATTGGTGGTTCGTCTTCCTGATGAAAATTCCCTTGTTCTTCTGGTGTGTATTCAAGTTGTTCATCGGGTTGGTACTCTTCTTCTGGGAATGTTCCGTAGCAATCATACGAGGGTTCTTCGAAATATTGGTTTTGTTGTTCAATATTGAGAAGTTCCTCTGACGTAAATGTGGGTCTTGATTGGGGTTTGAACGTTTGAGATCGTCTGGTTTGTGTTGGTTGGAACGTATTTCTTGTAGTGATACTCATCGGCGTTGGCTGTGGCTGAGAGGTTCCTTGATTGTTTCGATTAGTCCAAACATTTTGGGATCTGTTTTCCTGTCTGCCTAAAACTTGTTGATTTGTGAAAAAACGCTGTGTTGGAGGATTCGGTCTAGGTGTGATGGCTATCGGACCTCTCTGGAATTGGCATTGGGACGATTGCGGGCTTTGCCACGTTTGTTCACGCCCTGTATATTGTACGGAAGGCATCTAATTGTATTGTTGCCTAGAAAATCTTTGCATCTGCATCTGCATTGGTTTTCTGTTAGGCATGTTCGGTGATGAGCCATTATTTCTCTGAAGATAGCGAATGCTACCCTCTTCTTGTATAAACTGTAAAGCGATTGCCAAATTTCCTGGTCTCATTGCCCGTATAGTTGAACCTGAAGGTTCGTTTAAGCCTGCCAAAAACGTTGTCAATGTTTGTTGGCGGAAGAAATCCTTCTCACTATTTTTGACTACGGGGTTGTCATTATGAACTTCGATGTAGTTACTCATAGTATTCGAAATTCCCATACATTGTTCGTGGAATTGGACTGCTGCTACTTTGTCAATGAGATTTTACATCTTTAGACAATAGAGCATATTCTCTCTCTCTCTCTCTGTCTCGTTCTGTTGTTGTCTCATATTAACAAGATCTCGAGTTATGCTGTTTTCATCTCGTTGATCAGAAAAGTTCTGAATCAACGTATGTTTAATGTCGTTCTATTGTTCACATCTATGAATAGAAACGACTTCTATCGCTCGCCCTGTTAGTTTGCTCAAGATTCCAGTTAGCAGGAGAATATTCTGTAGGCAACCGGCATTTGCAGGTGTCGGATCGTAATAATGATTCAGCAGTGTCGACGCTACTTTGATGAAACCATACAGTCCATTAGGATTTCCATCGAAAGGTGGCACAATGCACACATTTCTGACGTTCAACACTGGTCTCGACAAGATTTCAGGGATAGTTATAATAATATTCGGATTTTCGAGAGGAGTGATACTCGAATTATCGACAGAATTGATATTCAAATTTGAGAGTGATAAAATTAAATCTAGCTCTGCACTAGGGTCACTTAAAGGAATAGGAACAGAGGAGTCTGACATGAAAACTCACAGAACGATGATGATGGCAAGTTTCATTCCGTTGTCTGCTTGGTGGGTGATGGCGCTGCAGCACGAGTAGCACACGCGAAAGGTGGTTCTCCGTTTAAATTGAGTTTTTGATATTGACTAGATCTCAATTGCGTGTAAACGACTTACATAATTACTTTAAATAATCTTAGATTGCTTGATAGTGGAAACATGTCGAGAAATTGGAGAAGTCAACTGAGTCAATCTGCATCTTCTCTAATGCCAGATGTCGACATAGCAAGTGTGGTCAAAGAAGTCATCGGTTCTCAGGATTTTCTTCAAGTGATTGCATCAATGATCAAAGACGCAGTGAGTAGTAAAATTGATGAATGCCTAAAATTCCATGAAGAAATAATAACCAAGTTAGTATCTGGAAATAATAACCTCAAATTACAAGTCCATTCGCTATCAGTGCAGATGGATAAGACAGAGCAGTACTCAAGGCGAAATAATATTCTTATATTAGGGGTTCCCGAAGAAGATAAGGAGAAAACCGTGGATACGGTTAGTACAATTATCAAAAGTAAAATGGATATCAACTTGTCTACGGATAATATTGACCGCTGTCACAGAATAGGTTCTTTCAAAAACAAAGATAAGAAGAGACCTATTCTGGTTACCTTTGATACCTATAAAACGAAGAAAATGGTTTTCGATAAAAAGAAGAATTTGAGGTCGACTGGAATCACTTTTAAAGAAGACCTGACACACATTAGAGTGCGTATGTACAAAATGGCAATGGAAAAGTTGAACTTTAAGAATGTTTGGTCAATTGACGGAGCAGTTTTCACAAAAGTGGGAAGCCAGATCAAGAAATTCGAAGACCCTTCCATTCTAGAAGAATACTTGCAAAGCTTGAAGGGCCCATGATAATTTTACTACGGACCATATATTTAATTCTTTTCACGCATTTGCTCATGAAATTTATATTATAGTTTTTTTTTTGAAGTCAATAGTCGTACATACTCATCGCTGTTGAAGATTATTAACCACTTCTTTCAGCAACAAAAAAGACTACTTTTTTTTGCTCCATCTATAAACGGATATTTTGTAGCAAACTTATATTCTTTCATTGTGAAGGTTCATTGACCTATTAGTCATATCTTGTATTGATAAATATTAGGAACGCTAATCCTCTATCTTTGTTATTATTTTTTTTTTTTTGCTCTTTTCTATTTAATTAATAATTTGTAAAATACTTCATAATTCAAGCAATCATGAGAGAGACCTGCAAAATAGCTAATCTGAACGTTCGTTCACTATTTACTGGATTCAATGATATATGTGAGATGATTACAAGTAATGAGTTCTCGATTGTCGGTTTGACTGAGACCTGGCTATCAGATGTTGTATCAACTGCTACCGTAGATATAACTAACTATAATTTCTTCAGATGCGATCGTCAAAGTAGAGGAGGAGGAGTCGGAATTTATGCGAGTAAGGAATTTCAGTGCAATCAAATTTTTTCAGATAGCAACAAAGACCTTGAGCAACTTTGGTTAACAGTGAAATTATCTAAACGATTATTTGCTGTGGGAATAGTATATCGACCACCAAAATCCAGTATTCTGAATTCTATAGATTTGATTGAAAATTCAATTAGTAATATTTATCCTACAGTTGATCACATCATTTGTATGGGAGACTTTAATTTGAATTTATTAAACATTACAGATCCAATTGTGGAGAGATTATGTTCTGTAATGGAAACATTTGGGATTTCACAAGTTATCAGTGAGCCTTCGAGAATAAGTAGAACTTGTTGTACTCTCATTGATCAGATATTTGCTAGTTGCACAGATTTTATTTCGAATTCAGGCACTATGAGCGCTGATACCATATCCGATCACAGATTGTTGTACTGTTCGATTGATATTGAATCATCTCAAAAAGCCCCGAAATTGTTGACATTCAGGAACTTCAGTTACTTCATTGCTGAAGATTTCAATTATGATCTGAATAATATAAACTGGATCGAATTATATAATTAAGAAACGATTGACAAAAAAATCGAATTTTTGACTACAACCATTCTTCAACTTTTCAATCAACATGCTCCTTGGAAGACGGTCAAAATAAGTAAACCCAAGGCACCTTGGCTTACTGATGTGATAAAATTGATGATGAAATTGAGGGATCAAGCATTAAGCAAATTCAAATTAACCAGGAATCCGGAGGATTTCGATACCTTTAAAAATCTCCGTAATTATACACTAGGCGCGATACGTAGAGAAAAAAAAAGCCTATTTAGAATTCCAATTCAAAAGTAATAATAGTGCAAGAGAACGGTGGAAGATTCTGCGAAATTTGAATGTTACTCCTAATAAATCCAACGAAATTCCCTCGCACCTGGCGGATGCTAATGGAATAAATCATTACTTTCTCGCTATGACAGCAAATATGAACAATGATTGCTCAGAAAGGATAGATTTTAATACGAATAACCGATATAGAGATGAAAACACTTTTGGTTTTGAATAAATTACTCCAAACGAAGTTGTTGACATTATAAATTCTCTAAAATCGACTGCAGTTGGGTGTGATGGGATCTCGAGAATCATGATGATGCATTGTCTTTCAGTACTACGTTTACCAATCACTCATATTATCAACCTGTGCTTAGAAGAAGGATATTTTCCAACGAAGTGGAAAGAAGCCGTTATTCGTCCATTGCCTAAAAAAAGCTTTCCTGAAAATGTGGAGGACCTTAGGCCTGTTAGTATCCTTCCATTTCTCTCGAAGATCTTGGAAAAGGTTGTGTACAAACAACTATATAGTTTTTGTGTTAGTACGAATATATTGCCAGAACGTCAATCAGGCTTCAGAGCTGGGTATAGCACGGCAACTGCCCTAACCTCAATATGTGATGATATTATTGAGGCTTACGATGATAAAAACTGACTGCACTTTTTATGCTAGATTTCTCTAAAGCATTCGATACGATTGATCACAAATTGTTATACGCGAAATTAAAATACTATGGTTGCAGGCAAGGTGTCCTTTCCTTTTTTGAAAATTTTTTGACTAATCGTTCCCAACATGTGATAATTAATGGACAAATTTCTTCACCGTTGCGGATTCACAAAGGTGTCCCGCAAGGATCTATACTGGGCCCATTGCTATTTTTGATTTACACTGCCCAGCTTTATGATGAACTCAAATATTGCAAGGGTCATTATTACGCAGATGACAGTCAAATATACTACGATTTTTCACTGAATGATGTGGATAATGTGAGCCGTCTGATGAATAGTGATCTAGAAAATATCGTATCACGTTCCTCCGATCACAATTTGCATATAAATCCCAAGAAATCTTTGCTCATGATATTTGGCAATAAAACGCCGTCGTCTGAAACAGAAAAGAGATTGACCATTAAAGTTGGTAACGTCACTCTAGCGTCCACAAAGGTTGCAAAAAATCTTGGTCTGTACATGGATCCAGGTATGAAATTTTCGGATCATATCAGCAAATGTTTGCAGAAATCTTATAGCGCTTTGAAACTATTATATTCCAATCGTTATAACTTGCATAATAGTTTGAAGAAAATGCTCTGCGATCAATTAATATTATTTCAGTTCAACTATTGTGACGTGGTATACGGTAACCATATTAATAATTTCGACGCTTGCAGCATTCAGAAAGTTCAAAACAACTGTTGTAGATATATACTAAACTTACGAAAATATGATCACGTGTCTGAGAATATTGCAAAATTAGGCTGGTTGAAAATGAAAGCTCGTCGTTATTTACATTTCGCTGCGTTCTGTCATAAAATCATTTTAACGAAGACACCATCTTATCTTTATGAGAAATTGAGATTTCGCTGTCAACTCCATAATGTTAATATTCGTGCCCAGTATTATATTCATATTCCAGCACACCATACAAAGAAATTCGAATCTTCCTTTGCCTACGAAGCTCCTCATATTTATAATAATTTAGATGACCATCTCAAGAGAATGTCAGTAAATTCATTCAAGGCAAATTTGAAAAAAATCCTTCTAGCCAAACAATTGACCGTCAACTCATTGTAAAAATTTGAAAATGTCAATGAATCTATATCCCTCCTCTAGCCAAAAAGATCATCCTGAACTCTCAATAGAAAGCCATATCTCATAATATATCTATCTCTCACAATCGTCAAGAATTTTTCTTCTTCTGATTTTTTTTTCTTTGTTTTCAATACAGAGTATAGTTCTGATTACGTTGAATGCTACAATGATATCTATGTTCATTTCTATAATTGTTAGGTTGAAGTGTAAGAATAGTTTTATACTAAACTTTCGCCTAATAAAGACCTATTATTATTATTATTATTATTATTATTATTATTATTATTATTATTATTATTATTATTATTATTATTGTTATTATTATTATTATTATTATTATTCTTCCTTCCTTGGGGTTGATCTTTGTTGGGTTGGTCCTTGGTGGTGAGCTGCGATGCTGCCACCTTGGGACGTAGTTCTTTTTGCGGAAACATAAATAAACGTTTGAAAACGAAGAGGATCTCTTTCACATACTCTTTTGCGTATCCTACTGACTGCGCCAGTTGAATATGTATTTCGGAAAAAATCGTTTTTAAAAAGATTTATTTTACTACCGAAACACGAATTACATTATAAGTTGAAGTTAATGGATCGAGATATAAAGTCAGACTGAATTGTACATGGTAATGGGAAAAGAACTAAACTCGGTTGAACTGGTATTCTCACGACTGTGTCCTATCTCGCTCACTCGGTAGATTCTGGGTGTCTTCAAGATGTAACTTGCCATATATGTGAGAAGCCGTTGAAGCCAACAGATATCAAAGTTCGTGATCACTGCCACTACACAGGAAAATTTCGTGCAACTGCCCATAGTATTTTTAATTCGAACTACAAGACCTCAAAAACTATTTCTGTATTATTCCACAACCTCACAAATTATGACTCTCACATCTTCATCAAAAAATCAGCAACGAAAGGAGAAAGAATATCAGTGATAGACCAAACTGAAAAAAAGTATATTTCGTTCTCCAAGTCAATATTGGTTGATTAATCTAAAGTGTCAAGAGCATTCGATGAATATATCCAATTGAGATTTGTAGACTCTTCTCGATTTTCACCAGAATCTCTCGACAAACTATATATATATATATTTTGGAGGTGCAACAGTGTACCGAGGTTCGAGAATACTCTCAAGATAATAGACAATTTGATCAAATGAGGCGAAAAGGGGTGTTTCCTTACAAATATGTGGACTCCTTTGAAAAATTGAAGAAAACTAAACTACCGCCGAAGGAAAAGGTCCATGATGATTTATTACCGAAATTTGAAGCAGTGTTTGAAATATGGTTTGAATTTAACGAAAATCCATGAAATCTTAGAATTCTTTCAATCGGCGTGGTTGAGGCCTTATATTGACCTGAACACAAATCTTCGAGATTCCGCACTAAACGATTTTGAACGAGAACTTTGTGCAAATTATCAATAAATTCAATATTTGGGAAAATCATGGAAAATGTCGACAAAAGAATCGACTTGAAACTTTGTTCACGCTGAAAAAATGAAAATAACTCGCTGAGAGCGAAGACTCTGATAGCCAAACCACATTTGAAATGCAGTACAGAATTCAGTGAGAACTTGGTTGCAATCCAGTTGGAGAAGAGTAGTGTTTGTTATGATACACCGATGTATGTTGGATTTTCAGTATTGGATATTTCGAAAACTATCATTTACGATTTCTCCAATGGATACATCGAAGCTAGATATCGTGATAAAGCAAAATTATAATACACCGATACGGATTTATTAATTCTAGAAATATTCACAGAAAATTTCTATAATGATATGGAAGAGAATATCCTATTTTTCGATATGTCA